ATTTCCTGAATTTGAATGTTGGCCTGTCTTGCTAGGTTGGGAAAGTTCCCCTAGATAATATCCTGAAGTGTGTTTTTTAACTTAGTTCCATTCTCCCCATCACTTTCAGGTACACCAATGATGGTGGGTTTGGTCTTTTTACATAGTCTCATATTTCTTGGAGGCTTTGTTGTTCCTTTTCATTCCTTTTTTTCTAATTTTGTCTTCACGCCTTATATCAGTAAGCTGATCTTCAGTCTGTGATATCCTTTCTTCCTCTTGATTGATTCAGCTATTGATACTTGTGTATGCATCACAAAGTTCTCGTGCTGTGTTTTTCAGCTCCATCAGGTCATTTATGTTCCTCTCTGAACTGCTTATTCTAGTTAGCAGTTCCTGTAACCTTTTATTGAGGTTCTTAGCTTCCTTACATTGGGTTAGAATATGCTCTTTTAGCTCAAAGGAGTTTGTTATTAACCACCTTCTGAGGCCTACTTCTGTCAATTTGCCAATCTCATTCTCTGTCCAGTTTTGTGCCCTTGCTAGAGAGGAGTTGCAATCATTTGGAGGAGATGAGGCATTCTAGTTTTTGGAATTTTCAGCATTTTTGTGCTGCTTTTTCCTCATCTTCATGGATTTATCTACTTCTGATCTTTGAGGCTGGTAACCTTTGGATGGGGTTTTTGTGTGGGGGTCCTTTGTTGATGCTGCTTTCTGTTTGTTAGCTCTCCTTATAACAGGCCCCTCTTCTGTAGGTCTGCTGCAGTTTGCTGGAGGTCCACTCCAGAACCTGTTCATCTGGGTATCACCAGTGGAGGCTGCAGAACAGCAAAGATTGCTACCTGCTCCTTCCTTTGTAAATTTCATCCCAGAGGGGCACTGGCCTGATGCCAGCCAGAGCTCTCCTGTATGAGGTGTCTCTTGACACCTGTTGGGAGGTCTCTCCCAGTCAGGAGGCATGGGGGTCAGGGACTCACTTGAGCAGGAAGACTGTCCCTTAGCACAGCTGATGAGCTGTGCTAGGAGAATCCCTCTTGTTAGGATCAGCTGCTCGCTTCAGGGCCAGCAGGCCAGAACTATTAAATCTGCCGAAGCTGCCCACAGCCGCTCCTTCCCCCAGGTGCTCTGTCCCAGGGAGATGGGGGTTTTGTCTGTAAGCCATTAACTGGGGCTGTTACCTTTCCTTCAGAGGTGCCCTGCCCAGAAAGGAGGAACCTAGAGAAGCAGTCTGGCTACAGCTGCTTTGCTGTGCTGTGGTGAGTTCCGCCCAGTCCAGACCTCCCAGCCAAGGAGGCAGATTTTAGAGAGCTACTAGTATACTGAGTCTCCTGATTCCATGATGGAAAGTGGAGAGTATTTCAAATCTCCACAGGAGCCTTGGCAAGAGTAATCTGAAAATTTAATGTAGGACAGTGTTTCTTTCAAATCTCCACAAGGTGCTTTGGCAAGAGTAATCTGAAAATTTAATGTATGTCTTTTGAAAATTTATTTCCCCTTAGGTCTTTTATCTCTTTTCTATTTTTTTCTCTGTTGCTCAGGCTGGAGTGCAGTGGTACAATCACTGATCACTGCAGCTTCAGCTTGCTGGGCTTAAGCAATCCTTCCCTCTCAGGCACCTGAGTAGCTGGGATTACAGGAATGTGGTACTACACCTGGTGGATAGTTTTTTTTTTTTTCCCCCTAAATTTTTTGTAGAGACGAGATCTCACTATGTTGCCTAGGTTGGTCTGGAACTCCTGAGCTCAGGGGAATCCTTCTGCTTTAGCTTCCCAAAGTGCTAGGATTACAGGCTTGAGCCATTGTGGCCAGCATCCCTCCCTCCTTTCCTCTGTTTTTTTTTCTCTCTCCCTCCCTCCTCCCTTCCTTCCTTCGCTCCCTTCCTTTCCGTCCCTCCTTCCGTCTCTCCCTCTCTCCCTCCCTTCCTTCTTTCTCTTTCTTTTTCCATTTTTATTTTGGATTCAAGGGGTACATGTGCATGTTTGTTACAAGGGTAGATTTTGTGTTGCTGAGATTTGGGCTTCTATCATCCAGATAGTGAACATAGTACTCAGTGGAAAGTTTTTCAGTCCTTGACCCACACTCCCTCATTTTTGAGTCCCTAGTGTTTATTTTTCTCATCTTTATGTCTGTATCTACCCAAGATTTAGCTGCCACTTATAAGCGAGAACATGTGATATTTGGTTTTCAGTTTCTGCATTAATTTGCTTAGAACAATGGCCTCCATCTGCATCCATGTTGCTGCAAAGAAAATGATTTCTTTTTTTATGGTTGCATAGTATTCCATAGTGTATATATATCACATTTTCTTTATCCAATCCACTGTTGATGACACCTAGCTTGAGTCCCTGTCTTTGCTATTGTGATGCAAAGTGCTGCGATTAACATAAGAGTGCTTGTGCCTTTGTTAGAACAAGTTACCTTCTTTGAGTATATACCCAGTAATGAGATTGCTGGGTCCAATGGTAGTTCTATTTTTAACACTACTTTTTATATATTTCATAATTGAGGAGCCTCTTTGAGTTCTAACATTTATATGTTCTTAAGTAGAATGCTCTATTTATTCATGGAATATACAATGGAAATTACCTAGCTGTTGTTCAGAAGGTAGTTCCTGATTCAATATGTTTTGAGAACAACTCTTACATCGCTAGTACAGAGATTAAAGATGTGGCTCCACAATTTTGATTTTCTTCTAAAGGACTAGATCTTAAAGCCAGTGACATTGCCTGTTTAATTAAAAGGGAGTAACTAGTACTTACAGCTTTGCAACGGGGCCCTTCAAAAGGGAAATCAGTGTAAGTTGTGAACAAAGTTTACTGGTTAGCATGTTTCTGATGTTCTTGGATGTTTTCTGTATCTGTTACAAACACTAACAGCATTTGTTCTAACATCTGCTTTAAAACAGTTACTATATAAGACCAAAAAAATTCCATGTCTGCTTATGGAGGACAGTTTTTGAACATATTTTGCATGATATAAATCATGTACTCTCTCTGAATAGGCCATAGAATAAAACACTGTAATTTTTATCAGTTATCAAATTCAGGATTTTTCTTTTCAATTATAGAAAGAGGTTAGTAATATGTATGACATTCAAAAAATATAGGCGCATATATATGTGAGTATCTATATATTTAATAAGGAGTGAGGTCCATGAAATTGGGTTATGAGTTGGTAGTCACAACTCCACCTGTAGCACCCCTTTACCACACAAATGTCAAAACAGGATCACAGTGTGGAAACAGAAGAGTACAGAATATCTTAGAATCTGAAATCTTTCTCAAGGATATGAGGTGCCTGGTAGAACTTTATTTACATGTTAGGAAATTTTAACATGAGCTTTTTAAGAAATGGAACTGAAAAATTTGGAGGAAGAGGTGAGTTTCTATGTAACTATTAAGTATACAGAAAAAAAAAAATAAGTTTGAAATTTTGCCCTAAGTTTGTTAAGCTTTACTGTGTTTTTACTATGGGGGAAACTTAGATTTTTCTTTTTTTTTTCTTTTCATTTTATTTATCCTGTCCTTAATCTTTTTAATATTTGGAACGGTAATTATTGAAAATTGGAGAGGGGTACAGACTGACTTAGGGAGGGCAAAGGAGGTTTCTTGTTTTTTTTTGTTTTTGTTTTTGTAAGTTCTAAAACTTGAAAATGATTCTGGAGTCTCCCGAAAATGTACAGACACACTGAAGAATTTTTATCGAGTAATACAATGTTTTAATTGAGGCATACACATTGTTCTAGGATTCTGTGAAATTCTAAAGATAAAAGTTTGATTATGCTTGTTTTAACTTTAATAAACTATTCAGTAATGTAATTTTAATACACTGTCTATCTAACACGTATGAAAGTTGTGTAATACCTTACACCTTAACAATGGAGAATTACTAAGCAATTTCGGCTACTCCGATACTAGCATTTCCTGAAACTCCTTAGGCTGATGTGGCAAAGGAGAAACAGCAATCTGAGTTCTAAAAAGCCAGGCCGCATTTTGGTTCTGACAATCACTTGCTGTGAACTTGGGCCAGTTTTTGATTTTTTAAATGGCGTAACAATTCGTTGCTACAAGTAGTTACATCAGGAAAATTTCTAAGATTTTGTTCATCTATTGAGTTCTCTTGAGTGTTTTGTTTAGGAAGAAGTATCTGCTCCTTTTTGAGTTGCTTCACCAAAGACTTGAGAAGGCAGAATTTGATGAGAATGATTATGCTGGCAAGGAAGACATATGTACGAGATTGGTTATCCTTTACACCTACGTCAGCTAAAACTGTCTCCTACGAACAAGTGCAGCACTTGGCACTTTATTCAACAGTCCTAAAAATAGGGTCCTAAATTTAGAGGGCAAGGTTCTACTTTTAGCCCCTCTTCTCGGAGGAAAACAGCGCGCGCTGCGACGGGCCAAAGCCCACAGGAATTTGATTTAGCATTTGGGTAACTGGGCACTAATGGAATTGAAGACAGCTGGGTCTAGCAAGTGCCCAGGTGACTCAGGTAAGCGAGGAGACCCGATCGAGGTTCTCTTGCGTGGGACAGGTTAAACTCTGACCAGACCACAGCTGAGCCGGAACGCCTTCCTGTCCAAAGTCCAAAGTCCGGACATGGTTGGCAGGGCGCACCGGCGGGTGCCCCACAGGCCGTTTTCCTGTCTGGAATGACGGCGGTTACTGGCGTCCCGGGGCCGGTGGGGTCTCCTGGGGTACGCCGCCGTCAGGGCTTCTGCTGGGCGCAGACAGCGGGCTGTAGCCGGGCGGCGCAAGGAAAGCCCTGGGTGTCGGGGCTGGGCCTGGCGTCGGCCCCAGGTCGAGGGGGCGCCCGCATTCGTCCCCTGGGGTTGCGCCGAGGCGCCTCTGGGAGAAACCTTGCCGCCGCCATCGGGGCCACCCGAGGCGGGGACCTTGGGACCAAGCCCTGGTATTTGGGGCTGTGCGGCTCACACGACAGCGCAGAGTATGAGGCCGAATCCCGTTCTCCAGCCCCAAGCCTCTCTACTACGAGGACTGGGTGGCTTCGCTAGGTAGAGCGCCGGCCCCTTTAAGAGCGAACGACCAGGACACGTCTGCGAAGCTTGCGCGAAGGGGAAGTTAGCGCCTGCCAGCGTCTCCCCGCCTCTCTACCTCCCAGCGGCTGCCTGGCCGAAACCAAACTGAGGGGTGGGGTGGCGAAGACAGGGTGCGTCGCAGGCTTGTGCGGGTCGGGCTCAGACCTGCGGTGCCTCAGGATGTAACGTGTAACAAGGGAGCCGGCGTGGGCAGCGTGGGCCTGTAAGGCCTGTGGGTGCCCGCGTCCCCCAGCTACCCCCGCAGCCGGCTCCGCAGTGGTCCGCTCCGGTTGCCGGGTGCGGATTCGGGTTCCGGACCGGAGGCTGCGTGTTCTCCGCGGCTTATTGTGGCCCCGGCAGGCCAGGGTTACTGTGGCTACTGCCAGAGCAGTCTTGGCGCTATGGAGGAGCCCGGGGCTACTCCTCAGCCGTACTTGGGGCTGGTCTTGGAGGAGCTACGCAGGGTGAGGCCGGGCGCGTTGAGACTTATGTGGCCCAGAGGTCGCGGGAGCCGCCGGGGGAAGGAAGCGGTAGACTGGCTTTGCGGGTAGACCGGCTTTGGGCTCTGAACCGCAGTGGTCGGAGGTCCTGAAGCCAGTCCTCGCCTACTGCCCGGCTCCGGCCTGTGTTCGAGGCAGTAGTCAGGCTCGTAGGGCACTTGAGTGGTTTTTGTGTGGTGGAAGAGGACCTGGGGCTCTGGAAGGTGAAGAAAGCACTTGCTTAGCTGGACTTTGCAAAGGTGTAAATGTTTCCCGATTCCTAAAACTAATTAGCCCTTCCGTTAGGTTGTTTAGCAGGGTTCAGTGACACGTGGTTCCTTCGACTGTGAGAAACTTGAGGACTGGTCCTTTAAATTAAATTAGTGATGTAACTTGTCGTTGAGCCTTGAAAGGACACCTGAGGTTGGGCGGGGAGTTGAAATTTTGATTCTGCATGTTTTTGGTAAAGAATGCCCCTTTGAGATGCTCTGTCACATGTGAGATTGTTCTTCACTTCCGTCTTGTTAATGTACAGTCTAGAGACAGTAATTTCCCAGTGTTCACTTTTTTTTTTTCGGGTCTAGTTTATAATCAGGTTGTAGAGATTTTTCTGAAGTGTTTCTAGGTGTCTTTGTTGACGTGTAGGCGTATTTATGTCGCTTTTTAAAAACTGTATTAAATCTTTCAAAAGACCACATAATTATTGAGGCAGTTATGATTGTTTCCCTATGTGAATTAAAAGTACTGTTGCCATAGTGTTAGTTTATGAGTTCATAGTTTGTCTGCTGCATACATGTATGTATGTGTTTAATATGTAAGGAGCATCTTTATGGAGATTCTAAATAGGCAAAGACATAGTTTCGGGCACTCATATCATGTTGTCTGTTAGAGAAGATTAAAAAAAAATAGTACAAAGTGAAACTGATGAAGTGCTTACCTAAGCATACGCACAAAATGTTTGGGAAATTGATGGGTGGGAGAGATTACATTTTCTTGAGCGGTTAGGAAAGTCTTTCTAGGCTGAGCAAATAGCTTAAGCAGAGGAGGCCTGAAACAGCACGGTATGTGCAGGGAATTAGGAGCTGTATTACTTGGAGTATAAAGTGGGCTTAGGGAGTGTTGTACAATGATGCTTGCTGGAGATGTTGAGTAGATTCCAAGTGCTGTACGTGTTGGGAGAGCTGTTGAAGGCTTTTCACTGGTTAGATTTTGGTTTAAAAGCTCTTTTTGATAGTAGCATGTAGATTAGCTGTTAAGGAAACAAAACTTGAAATAAGGATTAAGGGAGAGATTTCAGTAGTAGGAATAGAAAAGAGGATACTGCATGGGGAAATAGCCTCTAAGAGCTAAAATATGTTTGACTTTATTGCATGTGAAGGGTGAAATGAAGAAGGAATCTAAAATGACTCCCAGGTTTCAGGCTGTGGTAACTTGTCATTCATACAGGTAGGGTGTATAGGAAGAGAAGCATATTGTGGGATGGGAGATAATTTCAGACTGCACATTATTTCCCTTTCTTCACTAAAAACAACAATACTCAAGATTTAGTTTTTATAGGCCTGCCAATTTACAGAGACATGGAGACATGCAGCCAGATTTGCAAGTTTAGTCTGATGAATTCACCTACACAGTTTTTTCTTCTCTTCTTTTTCTAATGCGACTACCCTGGCCTGGGGGCTAGGATGGCACAACATTGTTCTGCTTAAAATTTTTTTTTTTTTTTTTTTAGTTTTAAAAATTATTTTGTATTGAGGTATATTCACAGAGCATAAAATTTATCCTTTTGTCATATCTGTTTCAGTGTTTTCTTGGTATATTCACTATGTTAATGCAACTATCAGCATAGTTCCTCAACATTTTTGTCACCCGAAAAAATAAACTGTACTAATTAGCAGTCCTAATTCACCTCCATCCCTTGACACCACTAATCTATTTTCTGTCTCTATGAACATGTCTGTTCTGCATGTGTCATATAGTCATACTATGTGTGGCCCTTTTGTGTCTGGCTTCTTTTACTTAGCATGTTTTCAAGGCTTATGCATGTTGTAGCATGTAACACCTTTGTTTCTTTTTTTTTTTTTAAAGGAAAAATTCACATAACAAGAAAACATAATCATAACTGCCTCAGCGTCCCAAAGAGCTAGTATTGCAGGGTCTCACTCCTGTTACTCAGGCTGGAGTGCAGTGGTGCGATTTCAGCTCACTGTAACCTTGACCTCCCCTGCTCAGGTGATACTCCCACCTCAACCTCCTGAATAGGTGGGACCACAGGCACGTGCCACCAGGCCTGGCTAATTTTTTGAATTTTTTTGTATTTTTCTCCATGTTTCCCAGGCTGGTCTCAAACTTCTAGGCTCAAGTGATCTGCCCACCTTGGCCTTCCAAAATGCTGGGATTACAGACATGAGCCACTTTGCCTGGCCTGTCATTTCGTTTTTTTGTCTGAAAAAGTATTCCGTTGTGTGAATATATCACATTTATGTCATAGTTGATGGACATTTGGATTAATACTTTTTGGCTATTATGAATAATGCTGCTATGTGTACAAGTTTTTATATATGTTTTTACTTGTCTTGAGTAAGTATCTGGGGTGGAATTGCTGAGTCATATTTACCATATGTTTAATTTTCTGAGAACTGCCAAATTGTTTTCCACAGTCACACCATTTCACATCCCCACCAGCAGTTTATGAGGGTTCTAGTTTTCCACATCTTTTCCAACACTTGTGATTTTGTTTTTTTGTTTTTAATTGTCACCCTTGTGAATGTACAGTGAGTGGTATTTCACTCTGGTTTTTTTTTTTTTTTTTTTTAAGACAGAGTCTTGCTCTGTCACCCAGACTGGAGTTCAGTGGCTTGATCTTAGCTCACTGCAGCCTCTGCCTCCTGGGTTAAAGCGATTCTCCTGCTTCAGCCTCGAGAGTAGCTGGGACTATAGGCGTGTGCCACCACGCCTGGCTAATTTTTGTATTTTTAGTAGAGTTGGGGTTTCACCATGTTGGCCAGGATGGTCTTTATCTTCTGGCCTTGTAATTCACCTGCCTTGGCCTTCTAAAGTGCTGGGATTACAGGCATGAGCCACTGCGCCGTCTTACTCTGTGTTTTTTTTTTTTTTTTTTTTTTGGTTGTTGTTGTTTGTTTTGTTTTTTAAGAGATGGGGTCTTGCTTTGTTGCCCAGGCTAGAGTGTAGCGGCATGATCATAGCCCACTACTGCCTTAAATTCCTGGCCTCAAGGGATCCTCCTGCCTCAGCCTCCCAAAGTGCTGGTATTACAGATAGGAGCCACCACATCAGGCCTCATCGTTGTTTTAATATGTGTTTTCCTAGTAACTAGTGATGTTGAGCATGTGCTTATTGTTTATATCTTCTTTGGAAAAATGTCTATTCGTTTCCTTTTGCTCATTTAAAAAATGAGTTATTTGTCTTGTTATTGTTGAATCATAGCGTTCTTTATACATTTAGGATGGTAGATGCTTATCAGATAAATGATTTAGAAAGATTTTCTCTTATTCTGCATTTTCACTCTCTTGGTGTGTTTTTAGAGGCATAAGCATTCTAAATTTTGATTAAGTCTAATTTATTTTTTTTCCCTTTGGTTGCTTTTGCTTTTGGTGTCATATCTAAGAAACTGTTGCTTAAGACAAGGTTACAAAGATTTACAGTTAACGCTTCCTTCTAAGAGTTTTAGCTCTTAGTTCTTTGATCCACTTTGAGTTATTTTGTTTTTGTATACGTTGTGAAGAATGGGTCTAGATTTATTCCTTGGCATGTGGGGATTTATTGGATTATTCCAGTATGATTTGTTTGAAAGGACTTCTTTTTTCGTTGATTTGTCTCGATACTGTTGAAAATAATTGACCATAAATTTAAAGATTTGTTTCTAGACTCTCATTTCTATTTCATTGGTCTGTGTCTATCCCTATGCCATTGCCACATTGTCTTAAAAATTTTTTTTTACACAACATCTTGATTATTGTAGCTTTGTAGTAAGTTACAGCAGGGAAATATGAGTCCTTCAACATTCTTTTTCTTTATCAGTATTGTTTTTCTTTATCAATATTGTTTTGGCTATTTGGAGTTTCTTGCATTTCTATACAAATTTTAGGAATTCAGTTTTAGGAATTTAGGATTCAGTTTGTCCATTTCTGCAAAAAAGGCAGTTGGAATTTTTATAGGGGTTGCATGGAATCTGTAGATCAGTTTGGGGAGTATTGCTGTCTTAATGTTAAGTCTTTCAAGCTGGGTACAGTGGTTCATGCCTATAATCCCAGCACGTTGGGAGGCCAAGGTGAGAAGATCACTTGAGCCCAGGACTTCGAGACCAGCTCAGACAACTTGGTGGTCTCTCTGCTCCTTAGCTCAGCTGGGTCTGAGTACATGTCTCACGACCAAGAAGAATTAGGCATGCAGACCCAGGAGAGTGAGTGGAATAGAATTTATTAGGCGAAAGGAAAGCCCTCAGCAAAGAGGGAATGCAGGGGGTGGTTCCCCTACCCGAAGGCAGGTAAGTCTCCCTGTGTGGCTGGGTCTGGGGCCTTTTATGGACTCAGAATGGTAAGTGCATGCTGATTGGTTTGTGATTATGCTATAAAAGGTTAAAGCAAAGACACCACTCAAAGATAGGCATGACAATGTAGAAAACTAATTAGGAAAGGGCAGGTATATGTAAAATAGGTGAAGAGTGGGGATCAATCAGAGGAAAACGCACCAAACAGGAAGGCAAGTTCTCAGTTTGGTCCAAGGATTTAACTTGTAGCTTGGCTTTCAAGCTTTAAACTGTCTTCTGCTTGGAGTTGGGGTTTCACTAGGCACCTGCCCCTATCTGTCTAGGCATTTGGCTGCCTCCTGGCACTCTCAAAACGCTGTCTCCAAAATAAAAAAATTAGTTGGGCAAGTGGGACGTGCCTGTAGTCCCAGCGACTTGGGAGGCTAAGGTGGGAGGATCACTTAAGCCTGGGGAGGGCGAGGCTGCAGTGAGCCAAGATTGCACCACTGCACTCCAGCCTGAGCGACAGGGTCAGTCCCTGCCTCAAACAAACAAACAAGTCTTCCAGCCCATGAACATGGAGTAGCTTTACATTTATTTAGGTCTTCCTTATTTTCTTTTCACAGTATTTTGTAGTTTTCAACATGCACTCATTTTGTTAAATGTATTCCTAATATTCTTTTTGATGCTATTGTAAATGGAAATGTTTTCTTTATTTCATTTTCAGGTTGCTCTTTGTATAGAAATTCAACTGATTTTTCTATGTTGATTTTGTACTCTGCAGCTTTGCTGAACTTGTTATTAGCTCTGATAGTTTTTCCATAGATTCTTTAGGATTTTCTATATATATAGAATAGCATTACGTCATCTTCAAACAGTTTTTCTTCTTCCTTTCCAGTCTGGATGCCTTTTATTTATTTATTTTTGCCTAATTCCGCTGGCTAGAACCTCCATTACGATGTTGAATAAATGCTAATAGAGTGGACATTGTTTTTCCTGATCATAGGAGGAAAGCTTTTTTTTTTTCCCATCATTAAGTATGATATTAATTGTAGGCTTTGTATAGATGTTCCTTGTCAGTTGAGGAAATTCCTTCAAATTGTACTTTGTTGAGTGTGTGTGGTTTTTTGTTGTTGTTCTTTGTTTGGGACAGGGTCTCACTCTGTTGCCCAGGCTGGAGTGCAATGGCATGATCATGGTTCACTTCTGTCTTGCTGTCTTGACTTTCTGGGCTCAGGTGATTCTCCCACCTTCGACTTCTGAGTAGCTGGGACTATAGGCATGTGCCACCATGCTTGGCTAATTTTTGTTGAATGTTTTGATTATGAAAGGGCACTAGATATAGTCAAATGCTTTTTCTGTGTCTGTTGAGATGATCATGTGTTTTTTTCCCTCTCCATTCTCCTAATATGGTTTATAACATTAATTCATTTTTATATGTTAAACCAACCTTGCATTTCTGGGATAAATCCCACTTCGTTATGGTACATAATCCTTTTTATATGCTACTGGATTTGGTTTGTTAATATTTTGTCATGGATTTTTGCATCTGTGGTCATAAGATATATTGGTGTTTGATTTTCTTTTCTTGTGATATATTTGTCTGGCTTTTAAATTTTTATATAAAATCTGAGAGTAAAAAATCTCCTTGAGAAAGCCAGAATAATTTAGACCAGAGCAATGAATTTGAGGTGAATCTTTTAGAACTCAGATTTTTTTTTTTTTTTTTTTTTGTGATGGAGTCTTGCTCTGTCACCCAGGCTGGATTGCAGTGGTGCAGTCTTTGCTCACTGTAGCCTCCTCCTGGGTTCAAGCAATTCTTGTGTCTTAGCCTCCCGAGTAGCTGGGATTACAGGGTCACACCATCACTCCCAACTAATTTTTGTATTTTTAGTAGAGACGAGGTTTCACCATGTTGGCCAGGCTGGTCTCAAATTCCTGACCTCAAGTGATCTAACCATCTTGGCCTCCCAAAGTGCTGGGATTACAGGACTGAGCCACCGTGGCTGGCCAAGACTCAAGATTCTTTGCCTTTCCTCACTCTACCAGATCTAACCAGCTCAATCAAGGTTTTATTTTATTTTTTATTAAAAAGTTTTTTTAAAAAAATTATTCCTTAATTTCCATTATTTCCTTAATCCTTTTTTTTTTTTTTTTTTTTTTGGGACAGAGTCTTGCGCTGTCACCTAGGCTGGGGTGCAGTGGCGTGATCTGCAACCTCTGCTTTCCGGGTTCTAGTGATTCTCCTTCCTCAGCCTTTCTAGTAGCTGGAACTACATGTGCCCACTACCATGCCTGGCTAATTTTTGTATTTTTAATAGAGACGGGGTTTTGCCATGTTGGCCAGGCTGGTCTTAAACTCCTGGCCTCATGTGATCTGCCTACCTTGCCCTCCCAAAGTGCTGGCATGAGCCACTGTGCCTGGCCCTAGCCCCGACCTTTAAACTAGAATTTACCATGTCCTTTTAGAAGAGAAGAGCTGATAAAAATGTGATTGAATCTAAGAAATATTATTGTATTAAAGATAATTACATATTTGATCTAAGAGATGCTTTTGGAATTGCTTTTAAAGTATAGTGCCATAAATCATATTGGTTACACGATTTTTGAGGTAGTGTGCATCTATGTGTTGAATATGTTAGCTGAAAGTAAGATACTTGGGAAATATGTAAACTGTGACAAGAACCTCTTTTCTCCCTGGTATTGTGTATTGGATGCCTTTTTTCCCCAATGGCAAAAATAAGTATCTTTTTTTTTTTTTTTTTTAAATAATCAATTGCCTGTAATTATATTAGATTTCTATGAACTGGTACGTAGGGTAATGTAGAGAGGCAGAAGCAGAGATCAGGGTAAAGGGATATTTTTTAGAAGTATAATCATGTTTGTTTGGTACAGGTTAATGAAATATAGATAGCAATTTGGAAGGAGTACGTATTTAGATTGGAGTTATAAAAGATTTTGAAGAGGAAAATAACTATTAAAGACTGTTCTTATAGGCAGAAAGGGCCTACAAGGCAGATTTGCTGTAGAGGTTTTGGGTTAAAGCCTGAAAAGAATCAAATCTGATCATACTTCAGATTGTTCTTACAATGGCATTTTTCTTTTTTCCTCTTACCTTTCTCTTTTTCTTTTTGATCGAGTAATATCTTGGGCCTGGTAACAAAGAGTAGAATAACCCCACTGGGTAAGAATGAGTAATGAGCTAACTCAGAGAAAGGTGAAATATAGAAGCAACAGGAAAAGCCTTAGACTGTGTTGTGCTGACGATCTGCTGTGGGGAGAAGTAATGTGGAAAGGCCATGGTCAGAAGATCAGGGTCTTTGGAGGAGATAATAGAAATAATTACCCTTTGTTGAGCACCTATCTGGCATGTTCAAACAGCATTATTCTCATTACACAGTAAGAGAAGGGACCTACAGAGGTAGGGTGGAGAGATTCAAACTCCAAACCCAAAGCTCTTTCAGCGGTGTTCAAAACTCTTTTTTTAGTTTTTGAGACAGGTCTTATTTTGTTGTCCAGGCTGGCTTTGAATTAAACTTTTTATTTTTAAAGCTGCAATTTGATTTTTTTTTTCCTGTAGGGAAATTGTATATTGGGGACCTGATTATACTCTACACATACAACCTAAACTAGTTGAAATCAGGTTAAGAGTACCTGAACCCCAGGTCACTCAGCTTCTTTCTTTGGCCTTCTCTTCTCATCCTCAGAAGTTCTGAGGCACCTCTGTAGAACTCCAGTTTGAAGTTAATTGCATTTCACCATACTGCTGTTCTTTACCTGGTGATAGTGATTGAAAGTTGCCAGAAAAATGTACTCTGATACCTTCTGTTTGGTGTTAGTCTGGCAGCCCATTTTATGTTAACCACGTAAACTTGTACCTATGTTTGTAATCAATATTTTTTTTTTATCAAAAGTGCATTTTTAAGTATTTACTTTTCTTTGTCTTGAAGGTTGTGGCAGCACTGCCTGAAGGTATGAGACCAGATTCTAATCCTTATGGTTTTCCATGGGAATTGGTGATATATGCAGCTGTTGTTGGATTTTGTGCTGTTCTCTTTTTTTTGTGGAGAAGTTTTAGATCGGTAAGTAACCAGTGTTGTACTAAGAGGATGTTCATTCTGTCACTGGACTGAACAAGTAATATGAGAAACATGTTTTTTATTTTAAGGAAACAAGTTAGGAACTATGTAGGGATTCAGAGGGTTTTTTTTTTTTCGTTTGTTTTCTTTTTTTTTAAGAGATGAGGGTCAGCAATGAGAGTCAGATCCAGTGTCATGGCTCTCACCTCTAATCCCAGCACTTGGGAGGCCGAGGCAGATGGATCGTTTGAGCTTAGGAGTTTGTGACCAGCCGGGTCAACATGGTGAGACCCCATCACTACAAAAAATACAAAAATTAGCTGGACATGGGAATACCTGTCTGTGGTCCCAGCTACTCAGGAGGCTGAGGTGGGAGGTTTGCTTGAGTCTGGGAAGTCAAGGCTGCAGTGAGCTGTGATTGCGACACTGCACTCCACCCTGGGTGACAGAGGGAGACCCTGTATCAAAAATAAAGAGATGAGGGTCTTGTGTTGCCCAGTCTGGTCTCAAACTCCTGGGCTCAAGCAATCTTCCTGCCTCAGCCTCCCGAAGTGCTGGGATTACAGGTGTGAGCCACCATGCTCGACTTGAATCTTTTAATATAAGATCTTTCATATATATATATTTTTAAAGAAATGGAGTCTCACTGTGTTGCCTAGGCTGCAGTGCAGTTGCTATTCACAGATGTAATCATAGTGTACTACAGCCTCAAACTCCTGGCCTTAAGCAACCCTGTTCGGCCTCGTGAGTAGTTGGGACAACACAGACCCATGGCACTGTGCCCAGCTTCATCTTCTTTAATTCTGGAAAATTTTTTTTATTTTTGAGACAGGGTTTCACTCCTGTCACCCAGGCTGGAATGCAGTGGCATGATCTCAGCTCACTGCAACCTCTACTTCCTGGGCTCAAGTGATTCTCATGCCTCAGCCTCCTGAGTAGCTGGGATTACAGGCCTGCACCACCATGCCTGGCTAATTTTTGTATTTTTTTTGTAGAGATGGGGTTTCATTGTGTTACTCAGAACTCCTGGCCTCAAGTGATCTGCCCGCCACAGTCTCCCAAAGTACTGGGATTATAGGCATTAGCTACCACGCCTGACCTAATTTTGGGAAAATTTTCATGCATTTTTGGGACTACTATTTTTCAGATATTGGCCCTTCTATGTCTGACTTCCATATCTCTTAACTTCTATTATTCAATTTCTTTATGGTTTTCTGTACCTTTTGAGAGAGTTCCTCAATATGAGGAACTGAAATCAGTTCACTTATCCATTCTTCATCTATACTCATTGTAGAGTATCTTGTTTTTTAAAGGTTTCCCATTTAATTTTATCTCTATTCATATTCTGTAGATGACTGAAGTCCTCATTTCTTTTCTACTTGTTTGTGTTACCTTAGCCCTAAGACTGATCCTTTTACAAGTGAATTCCCCCCTGCTTTATTATTTGAGAGAGGTTAAGGAATAAAAAAGTTTAGTTTACTGTTTCTAGTCAGTTCAGGTCTATGACCCTATGTAACATTTGTCTTTTATTCTGCTGTTTTATTTTGGATATTAGCATCAGGGAATATGATAATAGGGGCTGCTGCTGTTTTTTTTTTTTTTTTTTTGAGATGGCGTCTTGCTCAGTTGCACAGGCTCGAGTGCAGTGGCGTGATCTTGGCTCACTGCAACCTCTGCCTCTCGGGTTCAAGCAATTATTCTGCCTTAGCCTCCTGAGTAGCTGGGACTACTGGCATGTGCCACCATGCATGGCTAATTTTTTGTGTTTTGTTAGTAGAGACGGGGTTTCACCGTGTTAGCCAGGATGGTCTCGATCTCTTGACCTCGTGATCCACCCACCTCGGTCTCCCAAAGTGTTGGGATTACAGGCTTGAGCCACCGTGCCAGGCCTAGGGGTCTTCTTGAAATTATTTTTTTAGGGTCAAAGAAATTAAACAAGTATCTTTAGAGTAAAGTTATTTCAGAGCTTTTAATGTGCTGTTTCACAATGTGAATCTTCAATAGGGAGCCTTTAATAAGTAGTATTTAGGCCTGGCGAGGTGGCTCATGCCTATAATTCCAGCACTTTGGGAAGCCCTGGTGGGCAGATCAGCTGAGGTCAGGAGTACTAGACCAGCTTGACCAACATGGTGAAACCCTGTCTCTACTAAAAATACAAAAATTAGCCAGACATAGTGGAGAGTGCCTGTGATCCCAGCTCCTTGGGAGGCTGAGGCAAGAGAATCTCTTGAACCCGGAGGCAGAGGTTGCAGTGAGCTGAGATTGCACCATTGTACTTCAGCTTGGGAGACAGAGCAAGACTCTTTTTCAAAAAAAAAAAGTAGCATTTATTTTCTCATTGGAAATAGAATACAGTACCTTCGGTTTACTTGTATTTATACTAAGGCAATAAGAAACCCATATTTTTAAGCTGGTAGTAGACGTTAAAAAATTGATTTATTTGAGTGTGTATTTGTTTTAATATAATTTTTGTTAAAAATTTGTTTCAGGTTAGGAGTCGGCTATATGTGGGTAAGTTATTTTTTCTGCTTTAAATCTCTTTGTTGTGATGTAAAATCTTCTAATAATTTACTCATGATAATATTGGCTTGACTTTAGGAAGAGAGAAAAAGCTTGCTGTAATGCTTTCTGGACTAATTGAAGAAAAATGTAAACTACTTGAAAAATTTAGCATTCTTCAAAAAGAGGTAAGATATTTTTGAAAATAATATTCATCTTAGAGTCAGAGAACTTTATACTTCTCACTGTAGGCGCTTTTGTGTATATTTAAGATTATGAATGCTTTGTTGCAGAGTATGAGAGTTCTCTTGCTTTTCATATTCAACACTTAACCGGTCTTACTAATTTTAATCATTGTACAGTGGCATCTCCTTATGCTTTCCCTCTGTGTTTTCCTGACTGATGAGATCGAGCACAGAAACACATCCTCTGCATGTGCACAATTCTGGTGTCTTTTTGTGTATCCGAATGTTCTCTTCTCATAAAGACACCAGTCAGATTGGATTAGGGCCCACCCTAACAGTGTTAACTTATTTTGACCACCTCCAAAGGCCTTATGTCCAAATAGAGTCACTTTCTGAGGTACTGGGGGTTGGAGTTTCAACATACGAATTTGTGGGGACACAATTCGGTCTGTAATAGTCTTTGATCCATCTAAAATCATAGCTGATGGTGCAGTTGAGGGTGTGTGTGTGTGTGTAAGATTCAGATTTTTACCTGTGCGTGTCGAGTTAACCAATGCCATTTATTGGAAGGACCATCTTTTCTCTGTTCTGTAGTGTCATCTTCTTATGTCACCGAATATATATGAGTCTGTTCCTGTTAAATCTTGTATTTTGTTGGCCTTTTTCTTGTTTGTTTTTTGCCAATAACATGCTTTTTTATGTCGTGTAGTTTTATAACAAGTCTTGGTATCTGGTATGGTTAATTTATGGTTCTTGGCCATTATGAATAAAGTTACTATGAGCATTCTTCAAGTTTTTTTTGTGGGCGTGTATTTTCTTTTCAGTAAGTAGTATTGGTATAGTTTAACTGTATAAGATAAGAAACCTGACTATTTTTATCATTTTTTTCTTTGTTTCTGGTTTTCAGCAGTGTTACTATGATTTGTCTAGGTGTGTTTTTTTTTCTATTTATCCTTTTTGGAGTTTATGACACTTCTAGAATCTGTGGCTTAATGTCTTTTATTGGTTTTTTTTTTTTTTTTTGATACAGGGTCTGACTCTTGCCCAGGCTGCTATGCAGTGGTGTGATCTTGGCTCACTTCAGCCTCCACTTCCTGGGCTCAGGTGATCCTCCCACCTCAGCCTCCTGAGTAGCTGGGATACAGGCATGTGCCTGCCACCATGCCCAGCTAATTTAAAAAAAATTTTCGTGGAGATGGGGTTTTGCCATGTTGCCCAAGCTGGTCTCGAACTTCTGGATTCAAGCAATCCTCCCGCCTTGGCTTCCCGAAGTGCTGGGATTACAGCTGTGAGCCAATGTGTTTTGCCTTTTATTAGTTTTGAAATATTCTTGATTGTTTCCATGTATTGTTTTTGCCCTTTTTTCTTCTTTTTTTCTGGGACTATAAAAAAGTGTATTTTAACTTTTTATTATATCTCATCTGTCTCTGATGTTCTTTTCTGGGGTTTCCATGTTTTTGTTTGCCCACACTTCAGTCTTGATATATTCTTCTTACCTAGCTTCCATGTTGCCGGTTGTTTTCATTTATGTTTATTAAACCATCCATTGACATCTTACTTTCATCTCTTGCCTTTTTCAATTCTGCAGTTTTATTCTGGCTCTTTTTGTAATTATTTTTCTCTGGTACAATACTATTTTAAAATTTCTTTTATACATTATATTCTCTTATTATTTTTTTTTTTATTTTTATTTTTTGAGATGGAGTATCACTCTGTCGCCTAGGCTGGAGTGCAGTAGTGTGATCTCGGCTCACTGTAGCCTCCGCCTTCTGGGTTTAAGCAGTTCTTCTGCCTCAGCCTCCTGAGTAGCGGAGACTACAGGTGCACACTGCCACGTCTGGCTAATTTTTTGTATTTTAGTAGAGGTGGGGTTTCACTGTGTGCAGACTGGTTTTGAACTCCTGAGTTCAGGCAATCTGTCCGCCATGGCCTTCCAAAGTGCTAGGATTACAAGTGTGAGCCACCACACCTGACCTATGCTCTCTTATTTTATTTATTATTTTTATTTTCTGATTTTCAGACACCTGCATACACTTTCTTATTTTAATGTCTGACTAAGAACTCCATTTTTAATTACTACTGCATTATCCAGTAGTCTCTTTTTGGTGCTCATTTTTTTTCTTGTCTTTTAGTCAAGTCTTGTCCTCTTCAATGCCAGATTATTTTATATTGAGTGTGAGTGATAGTATGATAAAAATTGTAGAGATAATTTTGAAGCTATGGGTGCTGTCGTCTCTCTTCAGTGAGGATTTACCATTGATTTTCATAGGCAGCTAGGCTAGGAACATTAGAAATTTCAGATACCATTCTTTTAGTTTCTTTTTTGTAAAAGAAATTTTATTGTGTGTATTTAAGGTATAAACATGGTAAGATACATATATAGTAAAACGGTTACTACGGTGAAACAAATTAACATATCCTTTATCTCTCATAGTTACCCGTTCCCTGCCCACCCACCCCGCTAAGGACAGCTATAAGTACTCATTTAACAAAGATCCTGAATACAATGAAGTGTTATTAACTATAGAACTCATGTTGTACAAGAGATCTTTTAACTTGTTCATCCCACATATTTTCTTTTATTGAGACAGGGTCTCATTTTGTTACCCAGGCTGACGTGCAGTGGTGTGATCTTGACTCACTGCAGTCTCTATTTCCTGGGCTCAAGTAATCCTCCCACCTCAGGTTCCCGAGTAGCTGCAGGTATAGACACATGATACATGCTTGCCTGATTTTTAAATTTTTTTTAGAGATGGGGTCTCCCTATGTTCCCCAGGATGGTCTGAAACTCCTGGGCTGAGGTGATCTTCTTGCTTCAGCCTCCCAAAGTGTTGGGATTACAGGTGTGAGCCACTGTGCTGGGCCATATTTTCTACTTTGTAGTTTTTGACCTACATGTCTCTGTTTCCTCCCTCCCACCCAACACTGCTAACTACTGTTTTATTTTCTCTGTATATTTGACCTTTACAAAAATTCCACATATAAGTGAGATCATGCAATATTTTTCTTTCTATATCTGCCTTATTTTACTTAGCAAAATGTTTTCTAGGTCCATCTATGTTGTAGCAAATGGCAGGATCTCCACCTTTTTTATGGCTGAATAATATTCCATTTTAAATACATACCGCAGTTTCTTTATGCATTTGTTCATTGATGGATACCTAGGTTGTCTCCATACTGGCTACTGCAGGCAATGCTGCAGTGAACATGGATGTGCAGCTGTCTGTACAAGGTGCCAGTTTCATTTCTTTTGGATAAATATCTGGAAGAAGGTTTGCTGGATATAGTAGCTCTATTTTAAATTTCTTTAGGAATCTCCATACTGTTTTCTGTAATGACTGCATTGATCTACATTCCCTGCCAGCAATGTACAGTAAGCCCTTAAAGTCCTTGATAGTTCTTGGAAATTGACTTATAGTGAAACAATGTATACTGAATCCAGTTTTTTTAAATCAGTGTTATTCAAAGGACCTGCTCTATGTCTTTCTCTTTTCTTGTCTAGAAAGAATTCCCTTTTTTTTTTTTTTTTAACTTTTAAGTTCAGAGGTAGAAGTGCAGATTTGTTACATAGGTAAACTTGCATCATGGAGGTTTGTTGTATAAGGGTTCCCCTTTCTCCACACCCTCACAAATACTTGTCATCTCTCTTGTCTTTTTGATAATAGCTATTCTAACATATGAGGAAGTATCTCATTGTGTTTTTGATTTGCATTTCCCTGATGGTTGGTGATGTTGAACACCATTTCATATACCTGTTGGCCATTTTCATGTCATCTTCAGAGAAATATCTATTCAAGTCCTTTGCCTGTTTTTAAATCAGGTTATATGTTTTCTTGCTGTTGAGTTGTATGACGTCTTTCAAAATATTGAGTATTAACCCCTTATCTTATATGTTTTTTCTCAATCTGTAGGTTGCCTTTTTACTTTAGTTATGTATATTTTAATTTTTTTACCTTGCAGCTTCAGCTCAAAGGAACTTTCATTTTGTTAATTGTTTGTTTTGCTGTCTAGAAGCTTTTTAGTTTGACATAGTCCTATTCACTTATTTTTTTGCTTTTGTAGCCTAAGTTTTTGATATGATATTCAGTAAATTATTACCAAGGCCAATGTCAAGGAACTTTTTTGTTATGTTTTCTTCTAGGAGTTTGGAGGTTACAGGTCTTATGTTTAGGTGTTTTATTCATTTTGAGTTGATTTCTATGTATTATATAAAGTAAGAATTCAATTTCTTTTTTTTTTTTTTTTTTTTGAGACGGAGTTTCACTCATGTTACCCAGGCTGGAGTGCAATGGCGCGATCTCGGCTCACCGCAACCTCCGCCTCCCGGGTTCAGGCAATTCTCCTGCCTCAGCCTCCTGAGTAGCTGGGATTACAGGCATGCACCACCATGCCCAGCTAATTTTTTGTATTTTTAGTAGAGACGGGGTTTCACCATGTTGATCAGGATGGTCTCGATCTCTTGACCTCGTGATCCACCTGCCTCGGCCTCCCAAAGTGCTGGGATTACAGGCTTGAGCCACCGCACCGGCCTCTTTTTTTTTTTCTTTTGAGACGGAGTCTCACTCTGTCACCCAGGCTGGAGTGCAGTGATGCGATCTTGGCTGACTGCAACCTCCACCTCCCAGTTCAAGTGATCTTCCTGCCTCAGCCTCCCGAGTAGCTGGGACTGCAGGCACATGCCACCACATGTGGCTAATTTTACCTTGTTAATTTTACTCCTGACCTTGTGATCTGCCTGATTTGGCCTCCCAAAGTGCAGAGATTACAGGCATGAGCCACTGTGCCCAGCCAAGGTAGCCAGTTTTGGTTGGTAAGGACGTTCATTTCCTTTTGCTGCTGTAACAAATTAAACACCATGCCTGGCTAATTTTTTTTTTTTTTTTGTGTGTGTGTTTTTTGGTAGAGACAGGGTTTCACCATGTTGGACAGGCTGGTGTTGAACCCCTGACCTCAAGTGATCGCCCACCTTGGCCTCCCAAAGTGCTGGGATTACAGGCACAAGCCGTCTTGCAAAGCCTTTTATTTATTTTTCTTGTCTAATTGCTCTCGATAGTACTTCTAGTACTATTTTGTTTTTGATTTTTGAGACAAGGTCTCAGTCTGTTGCCTAGGCCAGAGTGCAGTGGCATGGTTATGGCTCACTGCAGCCACAACCTCCCGAGTTCAGGTGTTTCTCCCACCTCAGACTCCCAAGCAGCATGCACCACCACACCGGTAAATTTTTTGTATTTTTTTGTAAAGATGGGGTCTGGCCATGTTGCCCAGGCTGGTCTTGAACTCCTGGGCTCAAGTGATCTGCTCATCTCTGACTTCCAGAGTGCTGGGATTATAGGTATGAGCAATCACACCCAGCCCTTCCAGTACTGTTTTGAATAGCAGTGGTGATTGTGGACATCCTTGCTTTGTACCAGATCTTAGTGGAAAAGGTTTCAGTTTCTCCACACTGATGATGATATTTGCTGTAGGTTTTTCATAAATGATCTTTGTTATGTTGAAAATAAACTTTCTTTTTTTTATTTTTTATTTTTTTCATTATTTTAAGAATTTTATTTATTTTGTATTTTTTTGAGACAGAGTCTCACTTTGTTGCCCAGGATGGAGTGCAGTGGCATGCTTATGGCTCACTAGAGCCTCAACCTCCTGGGTTCAAGTGATTCTCCCACCTTAGCCTCCCTAGAGTAGCTGGGACTACAGGTGTGTGTGTGCCACCAAGCCTGGCTAATTTGTGTATTTTTGGTAGAGACGGGGTTTTGTCATGTTGTCCAGGCTGGAGTCGAAGTCCTCGGGCCTCCCAAAGTGTTGAGATTATAGGCGTGAGCCACGACACCTGGCCAGATCTTTATTTCTATACTTAAACTGTTAAGAGTTTTTATCAAGAAACGTTGTTGGTCTGGGCGTGAGGGTATGTGCCTATAGTGTCACCTTCATGGGAGCCTGAAGTGGGAGGATTGCTTGAGCCCAGGATTTCAAGTCCAGCCTGGGCAACATAGGGAGATCCTGTCTCTCAAAATTAAAAAAAAAAAAAAAAAAAAGGATGTTGAACTTTGTTGAATGTTTTTTCTGTGTCAGTTGGTATGATGATGTGGTTTTTGTCTTTCAGTCTGTGAATGTGACATATCACATTAATTGATTTGCATAGATTAAACCAGCTTTGCATGCCAGGGAGAAACCCCACTTAATCACAGTGCATAATCTTTTTGATGTATTGTTAATTTCAATTTGCTGATTATTTAGGATTTTTACATCAGTGTTCATCAGAGATACTGACCTGTAGGGTTTTTTTTTTTTTTGATACGGAGTCTTGCTCTGTTGCCCAGGCTGTAGTGCAGTGGCACAATTTCGGCTCACGGCATCCTCCACCTCCCGGGTTCAACCGATTCCCCTGCCTCAGCCTCCTGAGTAGCTGGGACTACAGGTGCATGCCACCATGCCTGGCTTTTTTTTTTTTTTTTTTTTTTTTTGTATTTTAGTAGAGACGGGGTTTCACCATGTGGGCCAGGATGGTCTCGATCTCCTGACTGCGTGATGCCTGCCTTGGCCTCCCACAGTGCTGGGATTACAGGTGTGAGCCACCAAACCCGGCCTTGTTTGTTTGTTTATTTATTTATTGTGGTGTCTTGGCCTGGCTTAGGTATCAAGGTGATGCTGGACTCACAAAATGTGTTCAGAAATATTCCCTCCTGTTGTTTTTCTTGGAAGAGTTTAAGAAGTATTGGTAATAATTCTACTCTGAAAGTTTGGTAAAATTTAACTGTGAAGTCATCCGGTTGTAGGCTTTTCTTTGTTGGGAGTCCAGATTACTTTAATAACAGGTTCAGATATTTGGAAGCTGGGCCTTAGTTCAGAGGATTAGTCTGTATTTGGTTTTGACTTTGTTATAAGGTAGGTAGGTTTTTTGTTGTTGTTGCTGAGATAGTCTTACTCTGTTGCTCAGGCTAGAGTGCAGTGGCGCGATCTTGGCTCACTGCCACCTTCGCCTCCCAGGCTGAAATGATTCTTATGCCTCAGCCTCCCGGATAGCATGCCACCACACCCAACTGATTTTTGTGTTTTTAGTAGAGACATGGAGTTTCACCTTGTTTGCCAGGCTGGTCTTGAACTCCTGACCTTGTGATCCACCCACCTCGGCCTCCCAAAATGCTGGGATTAAAGGCGTGAGCCACTGTGCCCAGCCAAGGTAGCCAGTTTAGATTGGTAAGGACATTAATTTTCTTTTGCTACTGTAATAAATTACTATAAACTTAATGGTGTAAAACAATACACATTTATCCTCTTACAATTTTGAAGGTCAGAGTCTAGAACTGATCTTTCAAAAACTTAATTTTGTTTTAGAGATGGGATCTCACTATGTTGCCTAGGCTGCTGTTGAACTCTTGGCTCTTGTCCTCAAGTGATTCTGTCACCTTGGCCTCCCAAAGTGCTGGGATTACAGGCATGAGCTACCACACCTAGCCTTAAAACCAATCTTAGGGGCAAAAATTAAGATAGCAGCAAGTCTGTTTCTTTATGCATGTTCTAGGAGAGAATCTGTGTCTTGTCTCTTCCAGATTCTAGAGTCTGCCAGCATACCTTGGCTCATAGCTACATCCTCCCAATTTCTGCTTCTATCTTAATATCGTATCATTCTTTTTTAAGTTTGGTCCTCTTGCCTCCTCCTTATAAGGACCCTTGGCATTATATTGGGCCCACCAAAATAATTTTGGATGCTCTTTCCATCTTAAGATCCTTTATTACACCTGGACATTCTAGGGAGTAGCACATAGACATCTTTGGAGAGGTCATTGTTTAGCCAAGCACAGGGTTCCATCCTAAAGCCTGAGCTACACTGGTTCATCTGACTTGGCAGGTCCTGAACTACAAGTTTTTTTTCTCAGCTTCTGAGTCTCCTGCTCTGCTTAGTTTCTCAGCCCATCAGCCTCTTCTTTTAGGGGGAATAGAAAGGTCAAATGCTAGACATGTCTTTCTGGGGATTTCCACTTCTTTCACAAATTCTCACTGCTTTTGATAGCTGTCTGAGGCTTTCAGACAGATACTATTTTTTTTGGTATTTTTGTCATGATCCAGAACAATCTATTCTTCAGTTTACTCACTTTTTTTTTTGAATCCTTGAAGTGCATTTTGCCAAATCTTATAGCATTATATATTGTATTGTTCCTTTCATTTTGATGGTCATTTCCTAGTTTTAAAGATTTTTGTATGCCACACTTGTTTTGTCTGGTATGAATTAAAAGTGAAAAGTTTTGATGGTCAGTTACTATAAATTTCTCTTTAATGAATAGCCTTAAAGAAGAGGTTTACTTGTTGGGCATAATTAGACAGCTTACATAAGAATATGCTTTTTGAGTAAACCTTTGGATAATCTTTAGTACAACCTTACATTAGAGTTTTTACCTTATTTTTAGTAAAAGATGCTAATATGAGTTATCTGCTAATACATGTTCTTTGAGAAGTAGACTTTAGTCTTAGGGGTGAAGTTCTAGCATCTGTTGCCTGAGCTAGTGGTTTGTGATGTGTTAGCTGCTCCGGCATTGGTTGTTACAGTGGTCAGATTTAAAAAACTTATAGCTAAGTAAATCCAAGTAAATTTAATGTACTTGTGGAAATGGATTCTGTCTGCTTCTTAGGCATCTATCCAGATAAGATTTAGAATAAAATTGGTAGAGTTTTTACTTGTGGTGGTGTTTTGTTTCAGTATGAAGGCTATGAAGTAGAGTCATCTTTAAAGGATGCCAGCTTTGAGAAGGAGGCAACAGAAGCACAAAGTTTGGAGGTAAAAAACCAAATGGTATAATTTTAAAATTTGGGGAAAAGATACTAAGTAACAAAAACTTTAAAAATATATTTTCTGAAAACTAAGTATTTGAAAGAAATGTGAAAGAGCATCTCTGGATGTTAAAACTTAAAGAAGAAAGTTAATCTAGGAAATGGAACATTAGTAGGTAGCATAAAATATTATAAAAAATTGAGCTTTTCTTGCTAACTTGTTTTGAGTGAGGCATGTTTATATTCAAGGAATTAGAAGCTATGTAGAAACTCTTCATTCTATCATTCCTGGGAAAAGTATTAAGGTGATTATTCCTTTTTTGACTCAGTTTGCTCTAGAAAGGAGAAATAGGATTTATTTTTACAAACTTAGGAATAGTTGGCAACAACAAATTATGTAAGTTATGACTGTACTTGCCTTTACTTTCATCCTGAGGATATTAAGAACTAACTAGAATTAGGCCAGAAATTTACATTGTAAGTAATGGTATGTTGATAAATGTTTAACAACTGTTTTTTTTTAAAGTAGCCTTATTTGTAGCATTTGCTGAGTTCTGTAGTATACTTCCACCATGGCCAGTTTCAGGCTACCAACATGATGTCACTGAATGAAGAGTTTGGGAAGATAATGCTTGAAATAGGCTTTCCTCAGCCAAGTATGATTTACTTAATTTTAAGGAAGGAAAACTTGGTAACTTGTAATTTAGCTAAACTAAGATTAGGGTAAGTCATGGGAGTGCCTTACTACTGTTGAGATATGGAAGTGTTGTGAAAAGCAGAGTAGTGACAAAGGATACCAGTTGTTAATAAAATATAATAAAATTATATTTTATTTGTTGACCCTCTGTCTTGACCCTCCCAGTAGTAATTTATTATTTTGATAAATAAAAAGAATTTTAGAAGGCATTTGGCATGCTAACGGGAGAAAATAGGGAGCAAAGACATTTACTCAAACTTGGTAATATTGAGGATAAAATATTCACACCAATTCTCAAGATAGTGAATTATTATTCACACCAATTCTCAAGGAGTAAAATTAGCTCCATTTTTAGCTGCATTCAACATTTTCTTCAATTTTAGTAATTTTTTAACATGCTATTTTCAGTAATAGTAATCATAATTGAATTCTAACTATAATGTGGTACAGTTTAAAAAAATACTAAAAGATAATGTATCAAACCAGTAGAGTAATTTTGTTGTAGGTCAGGGAATTCCTATAATGAAATAGTCAAATTTGGGGTAATAGGTGTAAACAAATTTTTAAGTCATTGTAATGTAGTATGTATTTTTTTCTGCTTTTATTTTCACCTGCATTCAATTCTTTGAATCTTTTGGTTTATTTTTTTTTAAACAAGTTTGTTGAAGGATCACAAATATCAGAGGTATGTTTATTATAGTATTTAAAATCCCGTTGAAATAATCCAATAACTAATCATTTAAAATTAAAAAGGTCATAGAAAATATGCCTTAATTCAATTAGGAATATTACCATGAAGCAGTCTTGATTTTTTTTGTTGTTGTTGTTATTATTAATGTCATGCCTTTAATTAAATTAGCTTTTTTTTTTTTTTTTTTTTTTTTTTGAGATGGAGTCTTGCACTATAGACCAGGCTGGAGTGCAGTGGCACGATCTCAGCTCACTGCAACCTCTGCCTCCTGGGTCCCGGTTCAAGCAATTCTCCTACCTCAGCCTCCCAAGTAGCTGGGATTACAGGCACGAGCCACCATGCCCAGCTAATTTTTGTATTTTTTAGTAGAGACGGAATTTCACAATGTTGGCCAGTCTGGTCTTGAACACCTGACCTTGTGATCCCCCTGCCTTGGCCTCCCAAAGTGCTGGGATTACAGGTGTGAGCCACCGTGCCCCGCCTGAATTACCTTTATTTCTCTTTTTTTTTTTTCTTTATAATGCTTTTAAGCAGTGTTTGGCAAACTGTGCCTAGTGGGCTCTCCACTTGTTTTTGTAAAACATTTTATTGGAACACAAGCCATGCTCATTCATTTAGGTATCATTTTTGTTTGTCACTACAATGGCATAGTTGAGTAATTGCAACAAAGACTGCATGGCTTACGAGCCTGAAGTATTATCTGGCTCTTTATAGCACTTTTGCTGACCACTGCTAGAATTGCTGTTATTTTGATATTATAAAAATGAGCAAATTTATAAATGAAAGTTTTTAACTTATAGTATATACTTTTGATTATGTGCATCTGATTTGCCCTAATGAAAAATTCTCATATCTATTTTATAAAGTTGGCTTTCTCTCTTTTGTTTGTTTTTGAGATGGAATTTCACTCTTGTTGCCCAGGCTAGAGTGCAATGGCCTGATCTCGGCTCACCGCAAACTATGCCTCCTGGGTTCAAGTGATTCTGCTGCCTCAGCCTCCCAAGTAGCTGGGATTACAGGCATGCACCACCGCTCCCAGCTAATTTTTTGTATTTTTAGTAGAGATGGGGTTTCTCCATGTTGGTCAGGCTTGTCTCCAACTCCTGATCTCAGATAATCCAACCGCCTTGGCCTCCCAAAGTGCTAGGATTACAGGCGTGAGCTACCACACCCAGCCTAAGTTGGCTTTCTCTTTTAGGCAACCTGTGAAAAGCTGAACAGGTCCAATTCTGAACTTGAAGATGAAATTCTCTGTCTAGAAAAAGAGTTAAAAGAAGAGAAATCTAAACATTCTGAGCAAGATGAATTGGTAAGGCTTTTTTATTTGAGGAGAATATAAGAAAAAGAAAGTTACCAAGCTTTAAAAAATTAATATGATACTGGTTAAAGTATTATATTATTGTAAAAAATGTAAAGAATACAGAAGATTGTAAATTAGAGAGATTGTAAATTTTCTAGATCCACTCTTTTCACTTCCCCCTAGATGTTATTGTGTTAAATTTCTTGCATATTTTAATAAAAATTTTCTATATGCTCTATGAAAGTAGCTCATAATAAATAAAAACAGAATAATCATCTACATAGTGTGTTTTTGTAATTACTTAACATGTATGTTAAGAACATTATAACTTTTTCTTTTGAAAAAGTCTGTCTTAATGAAAATCTTGATGTATGTGAGATTATTTAGTAAAACATGTTTGTGGACTTATCTTGAGCCTATATAACTTAAATATTAGGAAATATTAAAGTTGATGTGAGATACTGTTGTTATATAATGTTCATATAAAATATCTTTAAGCATATGGCTAAATAAACTGAGAAAGTTTCTTAATTTGAGCTCTCACTGATGGAGCAAAAGTGTTAGGTTAACAGTGTATCTCATATATATGGCATTTTGGAAACTACAGTTTAGTAAATATTTATTGTCTGATACTGTCTTTCTAGATGGCAGATATTTCAAAAAGGATACAGTCTCTAGAAGATGAGTCAAAATCCATCAAATCACAAGTAGCTGAAGTAAGTTGAATTAGCCTTATAGGTGTGTTGCTTTCAAACTGATTTTAATTTAATTTTTAAAAATTAAGACATAAGATATAATAGGATTTGAGATATAGTGGATCCCAGGGATATATATTTTTATTTTTATATATATTTTTAGCAATACCTAGATGAATAAGCATGGCTGTGTTGCCCAGGCTGGAGTGTAGTGTCACGATCTTGGCTCATTGCCACCTTCACCTCCCGGGTTCAAGCAGTTCTCCTGCCTCAGCCTCCTGAGTAGCTGGGATTCCAGGCATGTGCTGCCATACCTGGCTAAGTTTTGTATTTTTGGTAGAGATGGCGTTTCGCCCATGTTGGCCAGGCTGGTCTCCAACTCTTGAGCTCAAGTGATCAGCCCACTTCGAACTCCCAGAGTGCTGGGATTATAGGCATGAGCCATCGTATCCAGCTTGTATTATTATTATTTTTTTTAACATGAAGTACTTCAGAAAAGTTCATCTTTTCACGAGATAAGTGTTTATTGAGCTATTACTGTATATTGAGCACCAGTTGCTTGACACTTAACATTAATAGACAAAAAGAAGTTTAAATTTTAGTAGTGGAGACAGAATAAATAGTTATCAAAATTTGCTGCACAGTACATAGAAAGTTACAAGAGGTTAAATCATTTGTTGAAGGTTACATCGTAGCAAGTTAGTGGGAGAGACAGGACTAAACCCAGATTCTATAGAAGCCTTTTTTCTGCTATACCATGCTGCCTCTGCTGTTAATATTGGCATGGTTTTGCCTTTGTTTAATGCTGTGTTCTAGGGAGTATGTGTAAAGATGAGCTATGTATTAAATTAATTGTTACAAAGTTGACATTTTTTGTTTTACTTAGGCCAAAATGACCTTCAAGATATTTCAAATGAATGAAGAACGACTGAAGATAGCAATAAAAGATGCTTTGAATGAAAATTCTCAACTTCAGGAAAGCCAGAAACAGGTTCGTGCTCTGTAGGGACTCTTCAACTTGTAAATATGTAATTATACAGGTTCTTGGCATCCTCATGACTGACCCATGGTAGGGACAGGTGTAGGCTTTTTCTGGAGAGCATGAGAGCAGGACAGTCTCCCATACATCCTTCAGTATCTGTCTCTTTTGTATAGTATACAAAAGTGTATACTTTTGGCCAGGCATGGTGGCTCACACCTGTAATCTCAGCACTTTGGGAGGCCGAGGTGGGTGGATCATGAGGTTAAGAGATCGAGACCATCCTGGCCAACATGGTGAAACCCCATCTCTACTAAAAATACAAGAATTAGCGAGGCATGTTGGCACGCGCCTTTAGTCCCAGCTACTCTGAAGGCCGAGGCAAGAGAATCGCTTGAACCCAGGAGGTGGAGGTTGCAGTGAGCTGAGATCATGCCACTGTGCTACAGCCTGGGCAACAGTGAGACTGTGTCTCAAAAAAAAAAAAAAATTGTATACTTTTGGCACCCTCTACTCCCAGAGCAGGGAAGGTAAACAAGGGCATTTAGCATTTTTGTAATCATAACCAACTTCTTCCAGCCAGACAGGGTTACAGAGAATACAAGTTAGGATTATTGAAGTTATAGATCTGGGGCCTAAAGATAGAAGCAGTTCTGGTGGCAGATCAAATGAGAATGTGGGATTTGCCCCTTCTGTCCCCCATATACGTAGATATTCCCACATATATTTCTTCCTCTGCTTTGCCAGTATAATTGTAATTTTTCAGTGGGAAAATTTTTCAGTGATTAAATTATTATAATTATCCAAATATTACTCACATCAGAGCCATATGGTTTGTTCTTGTTACATATTCTGTCTTATCCAATATTTTCCTTAGAGTTAATAATTGTTTCATTTCTTGTATACTTATCCAGTTCATCTGTATGCTGTCTTCTAGATATACAGATATCTTATTCATGCCTTCAAATGCTGGATTAATTTGTTAATTTCATTTTCTTTTTTTTTTTTTTCCCCCCAATACTCATTTTTGTCCTGTATCTTTTTTTTTTCACTTGAAGCAGTTTTTTTCTCGGGTCTCTCTTGGTTTAATAAGAACTTATTTTGCAGGTGTATGTTTTGTTCTGTGTTCTGAGATTTCAGTTCGCCCCCATCCCAATGATTCCCTTGTCTTTCTCCAGTGCTAGATCTTCTATTTCCTATATGTAAGACTTGCTCTTTTGTGGTCAATTGTTCTGGTTAAGTTTCTGAGGAAGAAGTATAGGAGGTAATGTTTTTTTTTTTTTTTAGAAATTTCATGCCTGAGAATGTCTTGTTTTCTTACTTGTTGATATTTTCTTTGAATATATTCTCAGTTGACATTTTTTTTCCCTCAGAATTTTGACACAGTCACTCCATTGTCTTGACTTTCCAGTATTGCTTTCAAGAAGTCAGAAGCTATTCAGATAATTGAACATTTTTGGTAATCTGCTTTTTTCCTCCCTGGAAGCTTTTAATATCTTCTTACTGTTTCCTGTTCTCTGAAATTACATGATGATGTGCCTTGGTGTGGGTTTTTTTTTTTTTTTTTTAATATATATTTTGTTGGACATTTTTGATCTGGAAACTCTTGATCTGAATTCAGTTCTGGGACATTTACTTGAATTATCTCATACTTTTTTGGTGGATAGTTTATGAGATAAGTGTTTGAAAATCTCTTCTTTATTTTGTGTCTTTGAAACTTCTGTTCATTTTTTCTCATGTTTTCCACTTACAAGAGGTTTTGTTTGTTTTGATTATGCCTTTTTCTTGTTTCATGGATGCATGTCTTATCTTGCTGAGGATATTGAAGAGTTTGCAGTTCCCTGAATTTACTGTTTCCTTTCTTTTTTCTTTTTTTCTTTTTGGTTTGTGTCTTATCTGAAAGGTTCTTCATTCAGATGTTTGGTGATTCATGGCTGGCTGCTCATATAATACTGTAGCTTTCAAATCTAACTGGAAGCTCTTATTTGTCACTGGCGGGCCTCTCTCTCTCTCTCTCTCTCTCTCTCTCTCTCTCTCTCTCTCTCTCTCTCTTTCCCTTTATTGCCTGCTTGCTTACTTGCTTCCTTCCTTCCAACTTCCATCCTTCCTTCCTTTTCTTTCGGTGGAGTCTTGCTCTGTCACTAGGCTGGAGTGCAGTGGCACGATCTTGGCTCACTGCAACCTCTGCCTCCCAGGTTCAAGCAATTCTCCTGCCTCTGACACTGAAGCACCTGGGACTCCAGGCGCACGCCACTACACCCAGCTAATTTTTGTATTTTTAGTAGAGATGGGCTTTCACCGTGTTGTCCAGGATAGTCTCGATCTTTTGACCTCGTGATCTTCCCGCCTTGGCCTCCCAAAGTGCTGGGATTACTGCGCTACTGTGCCTGGCCACTGGTGGGCTTTTCTCTAGGATAATCTGGTTAGAGTGTTTCTTTTGTTTCTTTTTTTGTTTGTTTGTTTTTTGAGACAGACTCACTTTGTTGCCCAGGCTGGAGTGCAGGGTGCGATCTTGGCTCACTGCAACCTTTGCTGCCCGAGTTCAAGTGATTCTCCTGCCTCAGCCTTACGAGTAGCTTGGATTATAGGCATACACCACCCATCTGGCTAATTTTTCTACTTTTAGTAGAGATGGGGTTTCACCATGTTGGTCAGGTTGGTCTTGAATTCCTGACCTCAAGTGATCTGTCTCTCTCTGCCTCAGCATGTTGGGATTACAGGCGTGAGCCACTGCGCCTGGCCAGGTTACGGTATTTCTAATTGGAGGATTCTTACTTGTTGGTATTTGAAGACCATTTCCACAGGGATGAATCCTCCACAGGTCCCATTTTGGAGGTGTAAACCTGTTTGCGAGTAGCCTTGCAGCTCAATCAGGGAAAGAGTGCCGGTATCTCACTGTTTAGTAAGTCAGTTTCCTCTTAATACTTTTATATTTTCAGTATGTTACTTCTACTTTCACCTGGATAGATGTCCTAGAGTCTCGGGTTCCATCTCTCCAAAGAATAACCCCGTAGGGTTTTGCCTGTGGAGTCTTTTTATCACACTTCCATCTCTTTCCATTTTCTACTTCTACAGTTATCTTTGGTCTCATCTCCTATTCTCTTTTTTTCCTTGTGGGTTTATGCCTTAGAAAAAAATCTCTTTTCTCGCATTTTAATAGACGTGAGGAGAAAGTGGTGGTAAACCCTGTGTTAAATTGCTATGTTACAATCAAAAGTGGCCTTTTCCACCTTGGAAAATATTTCACCTAGGTCAGTCTTACTCTTTACAACTGCTTTCATCTAACTCCCTTTTAATCTTCAAAGTTCTTGAAATTGTCTGTATTCACTGATTCCATGTTCTAATAATGCACTCCTTCTCTAATGTTTTAATACTGCATACTGTGTACTCAATCTGTTTATTAACTCATGAGAGATGACCTAATCACCAAGTGTGAATTTTTTTCTTGAATTCTCATTTGTTTTTACCTGTATCATTTGATTCTTTTATTTATGCATAGAAAAGGATTCGTTTTTCATGTGTAAGGAAATATGCTAATGAAGTCTTAGTTTTGCAGAGAAATCCAGTAATTACTATTTGGTAGAACAGAATTTTAAAGACTAAATACATTTAGACTTCTTCATATATATGACTCATTTCTTTTGTGAATTGCCTGCTCAGGCTTTTTTTCTTTGTCTGTTTTTCTTATTAACTTCTAAGAGCTCTTTGCATGCTAAAATGTTATGAATTCCTTTCTTGGTGGGGTGCAGTGGGTCACACCTGTAATCCCAGTGATTTGGAAGGTCCATGTGGGTAGATCACTTGAGACCAGGAGTTCAAGATCAGTCTGGGCAACATTGCAAGACTCTGACTCTACAACAACAACAAAATAGCAGCTTATGGTGACATGTGCTTGTAGTCTAGTTGCTTGGGAGACTGAGGTGAGAGGATATCTTGGGCCCAGTAGTTTGAGATTATGGTCCAGCTTGGATGACAGAATGAGACCCTGCCTCTAAAAAAAAAAAAAATTCCTTTCTAGTTATTTGTCTTTAAATTTCTTTTGTGTTATATTTGATTTGTGAAGCTTTTAAGCTTTATGTAGTCAAGTCTACTTTTTATAATGATCTTTACTTTTTGTGTCATGTTCAGAAAGGCTTTTCTTTCCTGTAAAAGTATATACAGTAGGATATTGTTTGTGCAGAATCTGATCTGTTCTAGATTAATAGTAACTAAACTTTAGAAATACCATAAGTACAAAATTGCACAATGATTTAAAAAATAAATTTTAATGCAAGTAAGGTATGGCATTTTATATGGGATATATAAGGAATGGTAAATGATCAAATCTAAGATATGTATGTCTCAGAAAACTTTTATTTGATATACATATATGATATAAACTATTTGAAGAATGTGTATGTTATTTAACACTACCCTGTTGTGAAGGTTCTTTGAAAACAGGAGCCATGTCTGTCTTTCTTTTTTAAGTAGCTGCACAATGCCTTCTTAGTGTCTTTTAGTGATTTACCCATGTGATGAGTTGCATTTTTAAAATGTTCATTTTCAGCTTTTGCAAGAAGCTGAAGTATGGAAAGAGCAAGTGAGTGAACTTAATAAACAGAAAATAACATTTGAAGACTCCAAAGTACATGCAGAACAAGTTCTAAATGATAAAGAAAATCACATCAAGGTAAATGGCTCTACTGGTTTTAGTGACCAAGTTGGCTAGAATTTTATACTAACTCTGAAATCTGAAAACTAGTTTTTAGCAGCTTTTATTATCACAGCATATTTTCATAACATATTTGGCCAGATTTTCAAATGTTTCTTGAAGACTTACAGATTTGTAGGATGTACATACACATACACACACATATTTATATGAACATTCTTTGTGTCCTTTGTTTTTTAGCCTACATATTTAATAAAGAAATGAAAATAATTGTTTTTACCTTTTCTGTTCGGTATGTTATGTGTTAAGAGGATGTTGGGAAGAGTTTGAGAAATTGGATACATGTTTAGATATATTAATTGAATATCTTTAACTAGTGTATATACTTTCATGGAGAGGAATACTTTTTTTTTTTTTTTTTTTGGAGGCAGAGTCTCACTCTGTTGCCCAGGCTGGAGTGCAGTGGTGCAGTCTTCGCTCACTGCAACCTCTGCCTCCGGTGTTCAAGCAATCCTCTGTCTTAGCCTCCCAAGTAGATAGGGTTATAGGCACGCATCACCACGCCTGGCTAATTTTTTTGTATTTTTAGTAGAGATGGGGTTTCACCATCTTGGCCAGGCTGTTTTTGATCTCCTGACCTAGTGATCCACCCACCTTAGCCTCCCAAAGTGCTGGGATTACAGGCGCGAGCCACCATGCCTCGCTGTGGCATATTGCTTTATTTATTTATTTATTTCTAAACTTACTCTACTAAAGGGTTTGAGATTCTTTTACATAACAAGAATAAGATGCTAACCTCAAGCTCTGCTAAAAGCCATAGGCCATGTTATTTGTGCCTGGAACTCTGAAGAGAGGGAGGAGATTGAAGGGTGAAAATTGTAGAGCAGAGTATATTTTTAGGTGGGTCCCTCCGGTGGAATACATGACACATCATTTGATTATCAGTAGTGTTAGAAAATATTTCTTTATTAAACAACATTTAAAAAGTTTTGGAAAACCTCTAATGTTCCATTCAAATTCTCTTTTATAAATGTCTTTATCTCAGTTAAACTCCTCAATTAATTGCTTGAATAAATCAAGTAAAAATCTACAATCTTTTTATATGTTATATATCTCACTGCACATGTAGTTGATGTCACACAGAATTTACTCTCATGTTAATTAGGTCACTGTTTGTGGCATGTGAGAAATGTTATATACAAAAATATTTTACTACTATTTAATTGTATAATATTAATATGTACTGTACTTGATTTGGGAATAACTAGTTTTGGTTTTCATCTTGCAGAGTTTAATAGTCAATAAATGTTATAGTCTTAAGACTTTACAAATATCTTAGTAACAGGTGGAATATAAGAGTTCTTGTGCTATTACTTATGTGGATTGATTTTCAAACTGTAACTGTACATTCAGAAGTTGTAAAGCTGTTAGTATAAGGCATTACCCTCTCTGTTTTTCCTCTTTGTTAAATGTCAAGATTCTGACTGAACGCTTGATAAAGATGAAAGATTGGGCCTCTATACTTGGAGAAGAGATAACGGACGATGATAACTTGGAATTAGAAATGAACAGTGAATCGGAAAATGGTGCTTACTTAGGTATTAAGTCATGACTCATCTTCTTTTGCTAAAATGGTGACTAGCTCTTCTATTTCTTTTTTGTTCCTTGTGTGCACCATGTTCTTTATATGCTTTTACTTTGGCATGTTCTGTCTGTCTGCAACACACTGTCTTTTCTCACCATCCTTTATAGTTAACTTTAGCTGGAGTACTGCCTTTTCAGTAAGTCTTTCTCCAACTGCTCAGACACACAGCCTCCCCGCTCTGTTTCCTTTGTATATTATACATATCTTTATTATAGCAATTTTCAAAATTACATCATAATCATTTCAATGCCTGTTTTCCCCTGTACTGTAAGCTAATCAAATGGATGAGTGACTAGTTTGAAAAATGAATGTTCTATAAATGAATACTTCAGGATATTTCTTTTGCTTTTGTTAGAGGTTCAGATGGTTACACTACTTTTAATCTTAGGCATCCAAATTGTTATTGCCATTGCTAAATGTGCTCTAAAGTTGGCAAAAGTGGCAAAAGTTAGTTTCACTATAGCCACTTTGTATTCTCACACCAGTTCCTTTGACCTAAAAAAATCCTTTTTATTTTGAAATAATGGCTTCATAGGGAGTTCT